CAAGCCAAAGTCAGACATTTATACAGTGCACAATAGACTATACAAGTCAAGTATGAGGAACTACAGCATTTTAACTTGATTAATTATGTATAATGTCATTGTGCTGTAACCGTATTTACAAATTAGTTTTATCTTCCACATTGCAGTTCCTTTAATTGTTTGATAGATCGTTAGCTAGCATGGACATGTGGGGCAATATTCATCTTTTCTGGGAAGTTGCTTAATTGCTAATGATCTTTTCTTAACCCATGTGACAAATATTGGAAAACCTATATTTTGAACGCCTATAAATCCACTTGTAGTTCACTGGAATTATACATATACAGTACTGTATTTTTTGTTGTTGTCCGTGAGAACCTGGCATTAGTAGAGTTCACTTAATACTTAACCTCATCCAAAGATTTTATCTTAACCCTAACTTTAATCACATTAACCCTTACCTAAGCCCCAACAATGTTGTATGCTGGAACCTCAGTCCTGCACCGAACACTACCAGGCCAGAATCCTCACACCAAATCCAGTTTGAAGTGTAGGTTTAGGAGAAGTGAAGACAAATACTAGTGTTTTGCACTGGCATTCTATTTCTGATTATCTTTTTAACAGAAAGCTAAAACTATGTTGCTATGGTAATACAGTGCTAATTGTGATTGTATACAATGCTAAAGAATAAGATAAATCAAAAACATATCTTATTGCATCTTAACAATTTGCTTAATCACCTCAATATCAGCATGTTACATTCCCTTCCTCTCCATACCAGTTTTCAGTGCTGTGGTAGTTTGACTGACAATAACTTGGTCATGCAACACTGTACCCAAATTAATTTTATATAATGTTTTTGACAAAAAGCTTTCTTTTGTTGATATTTAGAAATCAGTTTCCCTTACTTTCTAGTATAATAGCAAAGACAAATGCCAAGACAGTACAAATACCCCCAAAATAACCAATTTTTAGAAAGTGGGTACCCCAAGGTGCTTTTTCTTTAACCTTCCATCTTTGGTAGTCAATGACACTTAACACCCCCCCCCCCCCAACAATCCCACAACATTGATGAACAGCCGCACTTCCCTTACCCACCCACACACACCTGGAATCTCAACTCTTTCCTCTTGCTGCTGCCTCTCTTTTCTTCCATCTGCCTGTGATCTTCATTCTTTCCCTTCCTCCACTGAGAAACGAAGGGGAGAGCTCTCAAATGTAAGCATCACAGAGATATGCATTCATGGAAAATAAATTTTTCATTGTTTACTTTTCCAAACTATTTAATGCATATGAATAAATGTCAAATGTTCATCGACATAAAATAGTAGTTATTTCTTTATCATTTTGTATCTTAATGGAAAAGCAAGTACTTCAACAAGCCCATTACCTGTATTACTGCTTTTGTTTATTTACAATTTTTATAACAATGATTTGCTTCTAATTGCACACATGTGATTTTTTTTCATTTTTTTTAAATCTTATTTTATTTTTGCTAAAAAGGCAATCCTGCACTAAGCCATTCCAGTGTTTCTGTGTTGACAATAAAAGTCTATGTCAAATAATAGCCTTTAAATAGCATAACTAATAATACAAAGTACACTTTGTGCATTCTTCCACCTGAGCCTACACGTTGGTAAAAAGACGCCATATGTGATGCATAACAAATGCATGAATAATGTTTCCGCTTGGAGATAGCTCTAATTGGATGGGTAGGCAGAAAGATTTATTTGGCACGTGAAGCGTCAGAGTGGCAGAAAGCACTGCTGCAACTGTAAAAAATAATAGCCACGACACAATCACTGGGAATCTGAAATGCAAAATGCATACATACTATGTATTTATTGTTGTAAATTCAGAAAAAAACATCTTTGGACCCTTTTGGAACACACTTTCTCTAAATGTTTTTTGAAAGAAAATAAAACTATGCAAAAAATTAATGAGCTGGTCAGTAACTTTATATTTTCATTTATAAAACCTAATCAGATGTGCTGCCCAATTGAAATACTATTTTCTGTAGTGTTGGTAAATATATTACTGTGTTTCAACAATGGTCCTCAATCATATATGAAGTATGCCAAATGAGAGCAATAGCAACAGTCTAAAAAATGTAATGCTAAACTCCATCAAGATAGAAAAACTCCAATTAATGCAGGTGTACATTTATTAAAACTCAACACCAGTTTAAGTAAAAAAAAAATTTAAAAAAACAAATCGGGTTATTATACTCATCTGATCTTTGGCACTGTCCCTTGCAGTCTTACTAGCCCACCATAGAGGGGGCAGTGCTCTTCCAGGTTGAATGAACATAGGGTATCAAGGGTCTGCCCCTCACCCTGGTATTGCTGTTCCTGCAGAGAACAGCAATACATCATTAAATAAATGTTTCCTCTTCTGATGCCTTCTTGTGTCTCCAGGCTAGGAAGTGAGGAGAAATCTTCCCAATGAGATACAGGAAGCAAAAAAAATCATTTTACCCATTCCATAAAAGCTTCAGCTATACTTAAAATGTATTTTTTTAATTCAACTAAGTACCAGAATGTGCCTTTTTATAAACCTCATGTAAACCTCTACATATCTGCACTGAAAAAGCAATATCTGAAAAACACGAGTGATGACTCATCTCTGTGCTGCGGTTTATTCATTGTTCTGTCAGGAACAGGGGGTGTATTCTTGACAAAGCTCTGATAGTGCTGTTGCACGAGTCAAGGACCTAGCTGTGCTTTCTTTTCCAATATAAATTTACAAACCATAACTAGGACAACAGATCCAAGCTGATGAGAAAAAAAAGCTTTATTCTCTTCAATTTAAAGTATAATTTGCAACATCATCTCTTGAAAATGAAATCCACACTATTTATTATTTGAAAAATACAAATATGTCCTTTAAAAAGTTGATAGTTTAAAGCGGAACTTCATTCAAATTGCTAAATACACAAATGAGGTACATAAGGGAGTTGCCTTACCTGACACATTATTTTTACTTCTGTCTATCCAGTCCTAAGATTTACACAGCAATGCCACACAACATAGCGCCATCTGGCAGGGAAAGGGACCTATTTTTTCATGTACAGCCCTGCTCCCCACCTCCAGCCTGTGACTGGACAGTGGAAGGAGAAACTGAAGGCTGATGAGCTTATCGCTCTGTTCTACCCTCCTATCAGCATTTTCCTTGCACTGCAGCACAACCGATTGACTCCTTGTGCTACTTCTTCTTCCCCCAGTCTGATCTCTGCTGTAAAGGGAATAGCAGTTGACATATACCAAGTTAAAATGAGGTACTTACACTTGCTTGCATTTAAATATGTATTAAAGGAGAACTATGGGGTCAGTGTTTTTCCCCATAGTTCTCCTTAGGGTAACGTGAGGACACAAACTAGCGTCCTCCCGTTACCCTAAGCTCAGTATACCGCGAGCTACAGCTCGCAATATACTGAGACGCCGCAGCCGGAGTGGATGCCGACGTAGATGACGGGATCCGCCCAGCTGCGTGAGTGACAGCTGGCTCTGCTTATCTAGAGGCAGAGCCAGCTGTACCCGCCCCCTCCCCCGTCCGTTCCGCCAGTCAGCGCTGGCAGATCGGAGCGGGGAGAGGGGAATCCAGCCCTCCCCCTGTCATGGCAGGGAGCCGTGACAGGATCGAGAGGTGAGCGAACCTGGTATGTGTTCACTCACCTCCCGATCTACTGAGCCGACCTGTGACAGTCTCATTGTCACAGGTCGGCTAGAACTATGAGGTGAGTGGAAATCACTCATCTCATAGTTCTCCTTTAATGAAAACAGAGCTGCATCAATTTGCATCTTTTTATATTTGCTTGAAGCTTAGCTTTGATCTGTAAATATATATGTAGCCCCCATCACCTTTTGTGAGGTGGCTACTAGAAAGGTAGTGATTGCCAGGGCTGTAATCAGCCTGACTGGATTATAGTTGGCATTTATTTTGTTAATTCTAGGTGTCTGGCATTGACTCTACCTACCTGGGTGGATTGTGACTCTGCTGTATTGTGGGACAGCCAATGAGGGACACTGAGATTGTATGTACATTACAGCAGCCAATCACTGGGATTCACTCAACCAGTGTTGCCTGCTGGGATAGGGTACATATACTGGAGGGAATTGCCATGTGCTCAGTCTAGTTAGGGACCAGCCATGGATTGGTCCAGGTTGGGGTGCAGTCCAGCCTGTCCCCAGTCTAGGCCTGGAGGTGGGCAGTGGCTGGAGTGTGGGAAGAGTTTCCCTGGGCCACAAGTATGGAGGAGATCTGTGCTGTTGTCAGAGGAGGAGTACCAGGGAAGCTGATGGCTGCTGGAGGTGCCCGACACATATTGGACGTCAGGAGCAAGTCTGGTGTCTCTCCTGCTGAGGATCTGTGCTCATCCCTGCTCATCTGATACTCAAATTCCTATTTTATGTGCTATAAAAGGATCTACACTGAGATGTCAACAGAGGTATAAAAATACATATTTTCCAAGTCTGAGATCTTGTGAGCTTAGGAATGTCATCAGCTCCAACAGCACAGGATGACTCGAACATTAGAAAAATTATTTTTCAGCAACTGAAAATTGGCTTCCTCTGGGTCAACATCACCCATTTTAATATTGCAGTACTGGATAGGATTGTCTCATTCATTTAATTATCAAATATATAGAAATAACATCTGTTCTAAAAACAAACTGCAATGCCTGGACACGTTCTAGTCTAGCCAGATGCCAGCTACAGGACAAATGCTACTAATTGGGATATAGTCAGAAAAAATGAACACGGAGTTCATGCTGCACTTGGAATTCTTTGCCTAAAATACCAATTTTCCTGCAATATGTTTTGTTCTGTGTGTCTCTGCATACTAGTTTATTTTAACAGAGCAAGAAGCCAATTTGTTTTCACTGCAAGACGTTTTAAAAGCTCCATTGGGGAAATAAAAGGGCTTTCATTGTTTATATTTGTTCAAAGATGTGTTTGAATGAGGGCAGTCTGAAAGGGATGAGAAAACAGGATTAATTAGAGTTTTCTTTTCTGTTTCAGGAAAAAGACGTGACCCCGGATCAGATGCTGTTAAAGAAGGTCAGAGAAGCTTCAGTCCAAATTGAAACTCTATCTTCCTTCAAGACACAGAGCAGCGCCAGACCTTCAGATTCTCCCTACATCGATTTCTTCTTGGCGTTAGCCATTTGTAATACAGTGGTTGTCTCCACAGCAACGGAGCCAAGGCAGAGGGTAAGCTCGGCGGGCATTTGCTTGTCTTAGGTCTTCTTGCATCATCACTTTACTCTAGACAGAAGAATAAGTTGCGTTCTGAAAATACCTGTATGTTCGTTTTTGCAAGCAACACAAGTGTAAGTGTAGAAGTTGATGAGTGCTGGGTGTTTAGCTGCTATTGTTGTGCTTTGTACTTCTTATATACTTTCCATACTTTCTTTTTTTTTTTTTTATGAAGAAGGGTTGGATCCTAGGTTAGGTTTCTTTTTTTCCTGTGTCTCCATTGGTGAGATTTCCCCTCCCTTTTTTTTTCTTTATCCCTGATGACTACTGTACCCTTCTCAGCTGAACTTGTTTACAGTTTTTATAGTGGTTTTTATCCCTGTGGCGAATCAACTAGGGTCCCAATGAGCCTGCTACCAGCCCCTAGCAGAGTCTTAGAATTAATACATGGATAGTATACGCCAAGAGATGGTGTCAAACAACTTGTTCAGCTAGCATCAGTGGAGGGCTGGCCAGGCAGTATGGTGGCATCTGCTCCTCAGGCCGGTACACATTCGATATGTTGGTCTAGTGGCCCTGAGTGGGGCTCTTCCCCATTAAGACATTAATCAGAACAGGAGCTGGAGTAAGTGACAGATTACTTCTGATAAAGACATCTTTTTTAGGGACCATTTACACCATTGCATTGTGCTAAAAAGTGTGTTAACGCAACACTTGGTAACACACCATGGTAGCACTCCTTACCATTTGTCCTCTAAAATAACTGGTATATGAGAAATGGGGAGTCACAATAAACCATACCCTTTGGGTTAAAATTCACAGCAGCATCATGTCACACTTGGTGCATTTTTTTAGCCCACAGGAAACAACCTCTGCCATGAAATAGCCATTTGACCAATTTTGCCCCCAGGCCAAAAGGACCTGATTTCCACTTTAAAGGACATCTGTAATGAAAAAGAAACAAACAAGTGGACTGCTTCAGCTGTCATCATTTTGAAAATGCTGGTTGCCTAGCGGTTCTCATGATTCAAAAGCTTCAATGCTTTAAGTAACTGGCCAAAATAAGTGTGCAGATCAGGAGTTGGGACTTGACCTTTACTTTTTACATGCTTAGTTTAGTTCAGTGATACAGAAATGATCAAATACAGAGACAGCTAGACAGCTTGCATTTCCTGGAGGTCATTAATGGCAATCCCCGTATTGGTACACGTTCCTTTTAAATATTCAACCATGGATTACACAGCCTCTCGACTCTGCCCAGCCTCAGTCAGCTATTACTATATGTCTCTTTCATGCCTTACATCAGGAAGAGCAACTTAGTGACTAGCCAGTAAGACTTATGGTTGCTGTATTCTTCTTTCAGTAAAAGTAAAGAAGGTGGATGGGGTCTTTGTCACAAAGTAAAAAGTCAGGCCATTTTTTTTGCCATTTTAATATTTTGTGATTTCATATAGGCAAATATAGGCATGACTATTTGGTAACATGGAATAACCCAAAGGAAGAATTCACTTACTGCATTGAAATTTAAATCTAATGGAGCTGATCTACCTCATTATTTTAAAGGAACTTTAGGAAATACCCAAAGGAAAATATATAACCATTATTTTAAGTATTTATGGTTCATTTACACAAAAACAGAAATATGCACCAATTTTGTTTTCTGCCTATGGCTGAAAATCTGGACTTCCAACAGAGGCAAACAAAGCCTTCTTATATCATGTGAGCCAAACAAGGATGCACAAATATCAAAGTATTACTTAATCAAACAAGTCATAAACCTATTGACATTTACAGAAACCAAGGAACTTTACTCAGTACCAGCCATAATGTTGTTTGTTGTTACTCCAATTAAGTCATATTTAAATACATTAATATCTAAAAGGTCATGAAATGACTGGGACACCCTCCTACACAAGCATTAAAGCCTAACTTCAGCCAAAACATGCTCTTTTGTTTTAAATAAAGAAGGGAAGGGTTAGAGCTTCTGCCAGATTTTTACTTGAGGTTGTGTCCTTATTGAATAGATTTCCTCTTAATTCCTGTCTGGATAAAAAGTGATGATAAATATCGCCAGTGGGCACACAAACAGAAATGAAAACCTGACAAACTATGCTTTATCTCCATAGTCATCCAAATGGCTGAAACATTTTAAACAATTCATTAATGGAAACTTGTACATTGTCCATAATATGCGAAGTAAAAGGTCCCTTTTACAGGAGGGGACCATAAGCAGTCAGTCATTATCTTACCTGTGCACTCACTACTCTGATCTATTACCAGAGTATCCAAGAAATTACCAGTACTTTGAGGCATGGGGGAATGTGAAACACCCCCTGATCCCCCACAATGGGGTACATTGCCTTAAAGAATAACACCAGCATATGAAATATTAACACTTGCAGTGTGGCTACCCCTGCACTGCAAGTGTTAAGTGCTCATTTTGTCTAGGGAGCTAAAATACCAAAGATATAGTGACCCAAACCCTGGATTGGCTGGCTGCTAAACTGGTCCCTGCAGACTCACTCTTCCTCCACTCCTACAGCTATATGGTGGTGGCTGCAGTGCAATAGCTTTTTGAATACACTTTTATTGATGCTGAGGTCTATGGTGGAAGGTACAATGTGGCAGTTTTAGATTATTGGTGAACTGTTTACTTTAAAAGCACTACATCACTTTGCGAATTGTATGAGTGTCACATGTGCTTTTAATACATCTTGAGAAATATAACACTCTCCACATTTTGGCAGCAATAATGTCATTATTAAGTTTAATAGGGCCCTTTTCTCAATTATATGTGCGTCTTTTGCCATCTCAATGCACAATGCTTTGCATTGCCCATTCATTTTTAGTAGGTCTCAATTAACATATGTGAACCATAAAACATGTCTCTTTTTTTTCTTCTTCAATGTACCACACAGCAGTGTTGTAAAATGTGCATGAATGGATTGAAGGCTTTCTGGTGTTTTGGGTTTTCTATGCTACTGATCTGGTTGCAGAATTATCAGCTCCTTTATTGTTTGACTGTTTTTACTGGTTGTGTAACTTAGATTACTTAGATTAATTAATTTGATTAATTTGCCACATATTGTGTCTTTTCAAGGTTACTATGGCTCCATTACTAAAGCCATCCGCTTCATCTTTGGAGAAGTTTCAGCATCTTTTTCAAAGGCTTAAATTACTAAGTCAGTCTTCTAACTCCAGTCCAACTAGTTCTGACCCTGAAACTCCTTCCAGCTCTAAGAAGAATAAAATTAGTCCTGACAACGTGTCCCGATCTAGCAATGGAGAAACTGAAAACCAAAGCAGTGGGAAAGATGACTCTTCAGCAAGTAAAAACAGCACTGACAACTGTATTGAGGAGATGTATGCCACTGTTGCTCCATTCCATATAGAAGATGAGTTCTGTTATGAAGCAGAAAGTCCTGATGAGGCTGCATTGGTTCATGCTGCTAGAGCATACAGCTTTACCCTAATGTCCCGCACCCCAGACCAGGTGACAGTGAGACTCCCACAGGGGACACTTCTCACTTTTGAACTTTTATACACTTTGGGCTTTGACTCTGTCAGAAAGAGAATGTCAGTGGTGGTTCGTCATCCAATTACAAGAGAAATTATTGTGTACACTAAAGGCGCTGATTCTGTCATCATGGATATACTAGATGACCCTGCCAGAGGTACATTAATATTAATTTTAAAATGTTTAACATGAATGTAGGCAGTATTTAATTAAATATTATCTGTCATAATAAGACTCCCTCGTGTTATAGATTTGATCATAGATATTTCCCCTTTCATTCAATCATTTTAACTATCTTTCAATGCAGTTGTCTCTTGCCCAGAATTATTCATTTTTGGTTTGTCCTGCGCATACCCTCTTTCTGTAAGACATATCACCAGCCATAACCTTACATCCCTAATTTGGTCATATGATATGAGGGAGGGATAGTTGGTAACTTTACCCTTATTAAGATGTTTAGTTTTCTGAGAATATCTTCTAGGTAGAGTTGCTTCTTCCAACTGAAAGGAGCAACTGAGATAGTTTAAGTAACTTGTACATATTTTCTTTGGAGGATAGTGCTTTAGCACTTTCCGATAAAGCTTCAATAATGAAATTAATCCTAAAAAAATACAACTTTCCTATTATTGTGCACGTTGTGTATGCCCGTTAAAGCTAAATCTCAGGCAAATCGCTAAATACACTGTTGGAATTTATATAGGTGAACTGTCTTATCTGGCAAGGGATTTGTAACTCTGTGCAGGTACTTTAAAGTGCCATACAATTCTGTGATACAGGAAAACCAGGTGGGTGACAACACTCTGTTAGATTTACAGAATACAGTGGTATCACATCCCTGCTTCCAGCCTACTGAATGCAGAGTAAAAAATCTGTAACCTGCTAATAGGTAATCAACTCTCATTCTGCTCTCTTCTCCTGGCAACATGTTATACTTCAGAACTGCTTTTTCATCTTTCTGTAGTTTCTGTAGTAACCAGTAATTCCCTTTATTATTTTTAAAGCAATACACAACTACATTGAATTTGTATTTTTTTTTTTTTTACAGCTGCCTGGAGTTTAGCTTTTAGGCAAACTTCAGCCCACTAAATACATTCCTGGGGTATCAAAACAAAACCTATTCTTGTGCAACTGCACATTGCAGCATATCTTCTCAGGTTTTCCTGGGTTCCTCCAACCCTGAGACACATTTTTCAAGGGAATACTATACCCTCGGATAATGTTCAACCCCTTGTGGTTTCAGTACCCTTCAGCATTCCAACTATCCAGAGAGAACCCCTAATTAACAGGGTCATCAGTTCCTACTGCTCCATTCCCTAACAAGGACATGTCACCTCAGTGTCTTTTGGGGGCACCTGCTATTTCTCAAAGTAATAGACCATATGTCCACCTTAGTGCCTTTTCCTGGCATCCAAATTGTTGAACCCTTAGATGACTTTTCCTAAAGAGGGTTCACTTTCTTGTAATCAGAACTCTTCCAAAGGTCCTAACACCTGCAAGCTTCAAATGGATGGGGCCTCAAAGATGTCTAGTGTTGGTAACTATTGGTCACCAAACAGGCAAGGTTGTTTAGCTCAATCCCTACTAAAGTCTACTCCTGCCCTTTCCTCTCCTTTTCCGCTTCAACCTCCCTCTCTATTTCTTTCAACCTGGACATGAGGCAAAGCATCCAGATTGCCCCTATGGACCAAGAATTTCCTGGTGTGACCCATCAGAGTCTTAGGGTGAATAGGGTGGTCTCTCCTCTCCACTCCGGGGAGTATCACAATACCTCCCTATTAGATAGTAATGTTTTTCCACCTGTTTCGGTGAGTTTTTGGTTCATACCCTCTTTTTGTTACAGACTCGGTGTTACCTCTGGTGGATTCATTCCACCTTGGCAGTGATTCTCATCTGTCCTGGTCCTAGAATTGAACACAGTTCCTGGACCCTTCTTGGATCTGTCAGTGGCTGTTGCCCACCCCTCAGTTCAACTGCTTTTGGCTACTAGCCAGTTCAGTCTACTGTTCTAAAAGTTTAGAGTATGGTAAATAGATGAAAATCAGGTGACATTTTAAACAATGCATACCTTTACTATGGGCTAGCAAGCATAATTTATGATTTTGGTTGAAAATGTTTTCCAGCTAATATAAATGATGAGAAGAAGCTACGGAAAATACAGTCAAGAACTCAGAGGCACCTAGACTGGTATGCAAGGGATGGTCTGAGAACACTGTGCATTGCTAAAAAGGCAAGTAATGTGTTGTATTCCATTTCTTTTTACTTTATAAAGGCTGATCCTGCTCCATCTGACAGCTTTAAAATGGTTGTTAGCTTTTGGTAACTTTGGTTTCTTTATATTGCTGCTCATTGTTGCATCAAAATACATTTTTATTATTCAGAGCAAGTGGCTTAAGTGCTTGCGATGTAATTTAAACTACATGCAATATGTTGGCCATTATTTAAAGTATAGTTGAAGTACATTTCTAAGCTGGTATAATGCTGCTTATATCGAAGAGCAGGCAAATTCAGTTGGCTGCATTTCACTTTGATTCTTCAATTGGGTTTGCATGGATACTGGTACACTACAGTATGCACATTTTCACCTTGTGTCCTGGTCAAATGGCTGCGCTGTTTTGACCCCTCCTGTTGCTCTTCACTATTGGTCCATCACTGTGATTCATAGCCTTACTGACAAATGGTGATGTGCGGGGCCTGGGAAGCATATATGGCCGTCATGACAGATGGTCAATTTTGCATACCAGAGTGCCCCAGGCATCCTGGGGTGCTCGAATTGAGTTTGAAAGCTGAATAAACACATGTGCTTAGAAATGACTTTGGGTATTCTGTAAATGGCAAAAGAAACATGTGTAGTGTACTGTTACACAGCATTGAATGAGAAATCATCTTTTACTGATCTGACCCTGATATGCAATTGAAAGTTTCTGAATAGATAGAATGACTTTGTACCATAAACACACTACTAAAATTAGCCCCTAGGAAATACCTTCTACACTGGTAAGAATACATTGAAAATTATGTCAGAGAAATAGTCAAATCTAGTTTACTGTCCTGAAAAACCTTTGTCTTAGAGTGCATAGCTATATACATTGTGCACATAAACATAATTAAAATCAATCCCAAACAACCCACATCCATCTGTCAAATATAAACTGAATTAATCAGCTAAATACTTATTTGTTTCTCTTTCTGCCTAGGTGTTAAGTGAGGAAGATTTTGAGCGATGGTCAAACTTTCGGGAAGAAGCTGAAGCAGCAATAGATAATAGAGAAGAATTACTCATGGAAACCGCCCAACATCTGGAAACAAAGCTCACCCTTCTTGGTTAGACATATGATAATATGTTTATTTACTAAGTTAAAGGAAAAAGCAAAAATTATGTGAAAAATGCAGTAAGCCACAAAAGTCAAATTTGTCGTTTTATCATTTTAGATCTGAAAGCACAACAAAAGATAATTACTTGGTGTGAATTCCTGCACTTCACAATGTGTTCTTTGATTGAATAAGCATTCACACATTTCCATTACAGCAGTTAGTTACAAATGTTATACCTATGATGATTACATTATTGTAAACAGGTGCAACTGGCATAGAGGATCGCCTTCAGGAAGGGGTTCCAGACACCATAGCTGCCTTGAGAGAAGCCGGTATAAATATCTGGGTGCTGACTGGTGACAAACAAGAAACTGCCATTAATATTGCCTACTCCTGCCAACTTCTGGACCAGAGTGATATGGTTTTTACAATCAATACTGAGAGCAAGGTGTGTATTATGTGTTGTTTTTATTTGTAGCAAAACATTTCAGACTTTGAAACCATGAAAATACTTTACCGAACCTGCCTGTAAGGCAGGCAAGGATTTACCTTAACAATGGGGTTTTTCCCAGCTTGGTTTTTCCCAGCTTGGCTGATTACAGAGCCATGTAATAACATAACAGAACCCTTTGCATTTGAGCACTGGAGATAACTGAACAGCCCCAGTAACCTTTATTATTTTCTAGGTAACATCTTTGAGCCACTTATTAACATGTACAGTAGATTTTTCCCATACTCAACTAATAGCAAATCAACTAATGTTTATGTAGGGACATTGAAATTGTCTAAAACTTCTGCAATTAAATTTATTTTTTCTCTTCTGAAGATCTTCAATATGAATGTTAAATACGACTTGTCCCTTTTACTACAACCCAAGTCCCCAAATTCCAATGCAGAATTATGTAGGAAAACAGTGATCTCCTATTGTTCACAGATCATTCATAGTGCTCCCCTATTATTCACAGACCATTCATCAGAGGTGTTTTGTCCCTGGTTATGAAAAGGATAATAACGTAAGAAATATTTGAAGGGACTCTATTAACTTTAAATGTCAGTGCTAAAACAACCTGTTTTATTTCATTCATTCCACTGTGACTCAGGGCTGTGCCATTAGACGTCATACTGTTTCATCAGTACAGGAAGCACTTGACATGTTGAATAGTTGAATGATGATTGTGATCAATGTTTTGTCAGCAATTGTCACTTGTTGAAAATGTACTTGCGTATACATATTTTTTAAGTCTGCTGCTGGGCTTGCTTGCAAAAGATCTATAATTTGTATACTTGCCTCCAAAGCTGAAACTAGTAGTTACCAAGCCCTTTAGCAACCAATTTTCATTGTTGGCTGTTTTGGCTCCTTTCTAATGCATTGGAAAGCTCATGACCCTGTACATTGCTATAGAAGTTAAATTCACTTAGCCATCATTGAAAGTTATAGGGAAGCACAGTATCCTGCAGTAGGTTGTGTTGAAAGATTTGGGAACTGATTTATTAAATGCAAATTGGCTGTTCATTTTGCAAATGAATTCGCATTTTGCAAGGTAATTTTCCCTTAGCCTAGTGAATGAGGTAAAGATCTGCTGACTTCCATCATCCAGTGATATGCAAGCAAAAATATTTTTTTTATTTCAAGATTGGGTATTCCCTGCAAAGTGAATTTTCACCACATTAGCTAAGCTAAGCGAAAATTCCCTTGTGAAGTCCAAATTCCCCTGCCAAGTGAACAGCCTGTTTGACTTTAAATATACCCCTTGGAGTCTTGTCATTTGCAATATGGAAAGAGTTTGTTTTTTTCCTTTTGCAGCCGATGGTAACACCAGTGCTGAAGTAAAGGCACCTTCCATCAACAGATATGCTGCCTTTAAATCATGCCTCTCGCTGCTTCATGCCTACTGCCTGGCACCCTCCCAGTCTCTGCATGTTGTACTAGGGAATTTAGGAACTACTATCAACTACTTTCTTGAAAATTCAGCATATTTGGCTCAGGGTCCCAAAACTTACTTGGCCATGGGAGTGCAATGGTCTATACTAGCAACTTTTGTCAGTCACAGGGCACAAAGGAATGAGCTGCATAGCCACACCTACTATATTGAAAAAAATATATTTTTGACTTGTGTTGGAAGTGATATAAAACTCAAAAATACATTATGCTTTAAGAAAGATTAATGGCCCTTGCAGTTAGAAAGAAGTATATGTGCATGGTTGGAGGACATATCATTGCTAAAAGAGTAAATTCTAAAATGGGCTAAGCATAAAGTGGGAGAGGCCATTATTAAACATCCTGAATGTCTATATTTCTTATAAATCTAATTTTGAATTTCCATTTGAAGAAATGCACATAAACGCTTTTGCAAATACAGCAAATTGGTACTATTGATGAAAGTTACTGACAATTTACTGGATTCATTTTAATCCAAGGAAGAATAGCTTTGTAGGTTTGCTTGGTACTTGTGGCTTTTCGAGATATCATCTTCTTTTTGTACAAAAGCCACTTATGCAATGCCTTTGTACAGTAAAAGTAAATGTCAATAGGACACAGCCCAAATGTCAAGGGCTTGAGACATACTTGTAACATTCTTGCTGCTGCCCAGGGTAGGAAGCTTTTTATAGATGTTGTAAGGCAAACAGGGATTTGGCAAGCCAGGCATCTGCAGCCACAGCCTAAATAAATAGTCCCTAGAAGGCACGTCAAGTACTTGGCATTCTCTAGTGTGCTGCAACTCCGTTGACAGCTCAGTAATGGCAATAGCTCTGGATACATTCTGTAAAGTTCCATTGAACTAACTTTTTTTTTATAATGCTAGCACATATAAAGTAATAATCGTAACTAAAGGTCATATCTGCCACATTAGGCTGGAGCTTCATTGTGGCTTTTTAGAAGCTCACTCACTATAAACATTGCTAGTAGGTAATCAGTAAAAGTAGTGATCGATACCTGAACAGATGGAACAAATAATTCCCTGTGATGTAAGCTACACAAGTAGCATGTAGTAGCGATTAATCTTGCATGAGTGTTCAATGCTTTGTGTATGATCGATCAGGCTACATTCTACTTTTGTAGCTCACAGTATAGGAAGCCATTTGTTTAGCAAACAATTGCTAGTCTTTTCAATTTCATAGTGTGATTAAACTTACACAAATCATAGCTCTATTCTGACTATTTTGTATCTGGAGACCTTATTGCACCTGCTATTTCTCAAAGTAATAGACCATATGTCCACCCTAGTGCCTTTTCCTGGCATCCAAATTGTTGAACCCTAAAATGACTTTTCCTAAAGAGGGTTTGCTTTCTTGTAGTCAGAACTCTTACAAATATCCTAACACCTGCAAGCTTCAACCAGATGGGGCCTCACAGATGTCTAGTGTTGGTAACTATTGCCTTTTCCTCTCCTTTTCCCTTTCAACCTCCCTCTCTATTGCTTTCAACCTGGACATGAGGCAAAACATCCAGATTGCCCCTATGGACCATGAATTACCTGGTGTGACCCATCAGAGTCTTAGGGTGAATAGGGTGGTCTCTCCTCTCCACTCCGGGGAGTATCCCAGTACCTCCCTATTAGATAGCAATGTTTTTCCACCTGTTTCGGTGAGTTTTTGGTTCACACCCTGTTCCTGTTACAGCTCTATTCTGACTATTTTGTGTCTGAACACCTTATTGCTCCTATTTTATGGTTAATCATAGTTTATGTGACTTAAAGAGGAACTGAACTCTGGTGCCCAAATAATGGCAGACAGATTTGTTCCCATTACTAACTTACCATACGCTCTGCAACATTTTCTCTGTGTGGAGGCAGCCATCTTGGTAGAGGCAGGCAGGGATTTGCTTCCTCATGACAGAGCCTCCAAAAAGAAGCACAGTGAGCAGCTGTGACTAGTAGTTTGAGACAGCAGTGCCTATGATATCACACTGTAGATAAACATCTATGAGGATGTAGGCAAAAGCCTGCTTAGGCGCTCTCGCATACTAGAAAGTTAATTCCTATATTTCATGAGGAATTACAATAAAATATAAATTTTATGTTACTGAGCAGACACAAATAACATTGATAGATATTCCACATAACATAGCAAATATTCACTTTCTGAGTTCTTGTCCATTTTAACTGTGTAATACATATGTGTATATGATGTCTTTGTACCCTTATGAAAACCTGTTAAGAAACATGCGAATATGCTAAACCCTTTTTTAATAAGGCATATTCAGAGAAAATTAATTTGTTGTATTGCAGGAAACATGTGAGTCCATAATAGACTGCACTTTGGAGGAGATAAAAAATATTTCCCCTGAGAAAAAGAAGAAGCATCTCTTCAAAAGGCAGAGGTCACAAACTGCTCCTGAGCCGGAGATGGCTCAGCCTGAAGTTGGGCTGGTGATTGATGGAAGGACATTAAATGGGATTTTCCAAGGAGGCTTAGAGGCAAAATTTTTGGAGCTGACAAAGCATTGTCGCTCTGTTTTATGCTGCCGTGCTACACCTCTACAAAAAAGCATGGTTGTCAAACTAGTACGGGACAAGTTAAACGTCATGACACTTTCCATAGGTAAGTGTTTAACTCTTTTCCTTAATCAGACTGATGAAAATGTTTCAAGTTCACTTTTTGTCCAAATTAAAATACAAATGTTTAACATTAGACTCTCTAAGTTAACAGTTGGTAGTGTGGACTTCCCTGAATTGCACAATCTATTTAGCATGTGTTCTCTTCTACAACAAGACATGGGTTTCTGCATGAGACACTCTGGCCTTGGCCCTTATGGTTGCTCCATTGATGACAGTCAAGGTGCAGGCATATAAGCAAGGCAAAGGACAAAATTGTCAGGTAATAATGCCGCTAGAGATCAGGGCAATGGCATTCAAACAGGTACTTTTGCAGCAGGATGACAATAGGCAAAAGGCCAGAATGACAGAACAGCTTTCCAAATTGGCAAAGAAGAGCCTAAAGGAACTATTCTATTTAGGCATTGTCTCTGTGCATTTGAGAATTTATATGTGTTGCTTGAGCTAAGGGGAACTAAACTTTTCACATCTCAGACTTGTAGCACTCCAGAAGCCACACTGATGATTGATATATATATATATAAATCAACCATTTCCTCTTTGTATTATTGGAGACTTTTAGTGCTGTGAGCATCTGTACAACAAAGTCTCTCATATATGACCTATGAACCAAGCTGCACAGCAGTGGTATTCAGGTACAGAGGAATTATTTATCCCTAACACCCCCTATTCTTTGTAGTCATATTTGCAGTTATAAACATTGTGACAGCTGTTCCTATGGCACTGTTGAAGCGATAGTGTTTTCGTTATTCTCTTCCAAAAGTAAACCAAATAACCACAAAAAAAGGAAATCAGTATAACACTAGGATACTAAAATCTACATGTTATATTGATGATCATTATTTTCTAAAATGAAAATGTTCTGAAGTTGAGTAGCATGATACATTTACTTTAATGTGCAAGTAATAATAATGTAATGAAAGTATGAAAGCGTCATTATATTTTCATTACCCATCTGACAATTTAACACAGTACAACATACTGAAAAGCTTTACATAAGAAATCCCTCTGTTTCAAACAATGTACAACATAGGTTTTCAATGTTATCAGCAAGTTATTGAATGGATGCAACCACAAACATAATAATTATCAATATATGAAATAGATAATTATGCAACTTATTTCACTATGTTTCATTTTTATTTTTCTAAGGTGATGGTGCCAATGATGTCAGTATGATTCAGGCTGCAGATATTGGTATTGGAATTTCAGGTCAAGAAGGCATGCAGGTACCTAATACAAATTTGATATATTTTTCTCCATGTGTTTTACCTTCAGCATCTCTTTCTTTTGAGATTTATGTCTTTAAAACCAACAATGTTCAGTGGTATTATTTAAAAAGAAATTGAATACATGGAAATATTTTAGAGGGTAGTCAACTTACGTTGCCCATTCACTGACCATTAATTGACCCTGAGAGAAGCAAATAAGCTTTTTTTGGTATTATTAATTGGCATACACTGATTCTATAGGAAAGCTTCCTAGCTTTTTGTGTCTTTATCTTTCCTTAAAGGGGTTTTCTACTTAATCTCCCAACATTACCATAACTTAGTAGTTAAAAGATAAAGATTTCAAATACTTAAGAGCACCGATATATGTGCTGGAAATCCCCTGTTTTGATTGTGTATCTCCTAAATGGTCAGCTCAAGCAGAGCAGAAGATACAAGTTAAAAATACTGATTGACTATTGTATAGCACAGCATTACAGTGTGAAGTATCAGATAGTCCCCCCACTGCAGACTCCAACGTATCCCTATTTATTCAGCAAGGCTATTGCTTTCTTCTTTCACTCTCCTGCTTTTGAAATGTGCCAACAACAAAAGTGGTTCATCCTTCATTTAAAAAAGTCTGTACCATGTGCTGCGCTCCAATATTTGCAGAGTAGGGTCTCTTCTGGCCTTCTTTTCTGAGAACTTAGTTCTCTAAACACCTAAATCATTATAAAGTTATCTTGCACATCACCATTAATTGTGATGGTTGCTATGTGACTTTCAAAAGGCCTAGGGATAGAGGTGGATGGTTGAATGCTTTTCTATATGATTATAGGGTCCTATTATTATTTTTTTCTTCTAGGTCCCATGGCCCAAAGTTACAAACCCTCTCTGTTTATTATTGATATTATAGTTATTACATATTTTTTATATACATATCTTTCGATTTTCAGGCTGTGATGTCCAGCGATTATGCAATATCTCGATTCAAGCATCTCAAGAAGCTATTACTTGTACATGGTCATTGGTGCTACACTCGGTTGGCAAAAATGGTTATCTATTTCTTCTACAAAAATGTGGTAAGTTTGATCAAGCTGAATTCATACAAATGTCATGTTTAATACCATCAGTTAAAATAGTTTGTCTGTCACATGACAGTCCTTTACATAAATAAAGAGAAAGGCATGGAAATAAATCTTAACTGACCATACACCTAGGTCATTTGAAATTGACCAGTCAGGTACTTCAATTGAAGGCTTGTTCACAATAAACTACATGGGTTTAAATGCATTGTGTTGGCATGTGTTTAGATGCATTTCATATTTTAGGTCCCCAGTTTCATTTAATTTGAACTGTGTTTATTTGGTTTGCTATACAGATGTATAGCAAACCAAATAGATTTTTCCAATGCGTTTATTCACTGCAATACAGCTGCTGAACATCTGATGCAATTGTTGGCACACCCTATAAGTAGTGATGGATGTCCATTATGCTGTGTTGCACAACAGTTTTGCAAATTAAAGCATATTTTACATTTTGTCTTGTTCTGATTTATAACAAACATTCAGTTACACCATGGATGGTACATTAGCTGTTACTGCCTGTACTGGGAAACGCACTGTATTGGATGTTTTCATGGAATGCAACAATGTGACATACCAACTAACAATACCTGTCTCATTTAATGCACTTTAAGGGCCAGTTCACACCAATTACGGTGCGTTCCTGAGCGTTAACTGCTGGAATGCACTGTAATCGCCCACTAAACGCCCCTCGCCTACAGCAAAAAATGAAGGGGGGAGTTTAGTGTGTGATTTTAGTGCGTTCGAGCAGCTAAAAAAAAAGCTACACAATGGGACAGGAAGATGGGTGCCTCCGTGGTTACCGGGGCTGGGTGCAGAGGTGGGGAGCCCTTCCCCTTTTTCCACCCCCCCCAGGGCCCAGTCACACATGCGACCATTGCGACTCTGGTAGTTCCACCAGTGTTGGGGGGAGGGGGGTGTATGAATCTGTGTGGGTAAAGTTAGAGTTAACTTAATGCTTAGGTCACAAACTCCATGGTGCTTTTCTTATTGCCTTTCTGGGGGAGAGTTATCCATTCTGCTAAACAGCGAGGCAGTACAAAACAGGAGCAGTAAGACTGGTTATAAAATACTTACAGTAAGGAGCCAGGGCCGGTGCTAGGATTCTTGCCTACACAGGCAAGGTGCATTTTTGCGCCCCCCCTCCCCGACCCCCTGTAAAAACAGGGCATTTTGATAAGTACTTGTACTTGTCAAAATGCCCCGATGTTTGCGCTATGTTTTTTTCACTTACCTTCGGTGCAGGAGAGCAGCGACGAGTCAGCGCTGGTCCGCTGGGAGGAGCTCCAGGTGGGGTCCTAATTTAGCTGGCCGGCGACTGCCCGAGGTGCCGCGCGTGTCGGGATCCTCTGGCAGTCGCTTGCTGGTAAGTGAAGGTAAGTGAAAAAAAAAAACATAGCGCAAGCATAGTACAAGTACTTGTCAAAATGCCCTGTTTTTTCCGTGCTCACTCTGCCGCGCCCTCAGGCGGCCACCTGACTTGCCATGCGGTAGCGCCGGGCCTGTAAGGAGCATGTCACACTAGGCATACTGCCTCTGGCGATTCATCACTCCATGGTCACTGCATCTTGAACCGTAAACCTCTTCCTAACTGCTCAGTATATCCTGGCCCCTAACCATTTCTTAGCCATGAGCAAGGTTTAAGTGGAAAAATATCACATCATTAGAAAATCCACTGCACATTTTCAGAAAACTATCCAGGTATCTATCCCGCAGTACAAGTACAGGGGTCACAGGTATACACAATAGTTGGGAATCACTTGAGAAGTTGTAGTCAGAGCCCCACTGATTCGTACCTGTAACATGCAGATGATGACCCTACCTAACCTTGACCTGAGGTGTGCCACGGTCACTATGGTCAGTATGCAATAAGGGGGCATACTCAAGTAACTGTTTATGAAAGGGGTAATGCAGGGTGGGATGACTTGGACGTCCCAACGGGTGCGTGGGGGAACCAGAGGTTCTTAAATGTGTGGGGTTTTTCCCACAAATCCGGCCAATAATTAGCCTCCAACTTATGCATTATAAGTAATGTGCATAAAAAATAACACAGCAGAAGGCTCAGAAATGGCCCATGTTGTTGCCTGTGCACGTTTTGTTTGCTTATGAATGAAAATACGGTACATCTGTAGATTGACAGCTCTCTAAAATATTTTGATTGGAGGGAATGTTTATGAGAGACACCTGTATGAAATTCTTTCATAATGATGCACACCTGTCTACGACAACAAGATTAATTTCCTTATTCTTCATCGCTACAGTATGAGTCATCTCATAATATAGTTACTAATTGATTATAGCATCCATCAAATTAAGTTAGTGCTAACAATTTGCATACATAACACATTATTTATGATGCTTATAGTCGACTCTCAAAAACATTGTTAATGTAAGAAAATGTGCGAAGATGAAACATGAAATTATATTAGCTCATGTCTGTCTTTTCGGGGTTTTTTTCATAATGCAAATGGTATGGTTGCTGAAAATGAACTGAAATTAATAAGCTGCTTAGATGCAGAAGTCCAACATTTTTTAAAATTTTAACCACCTCCTGTCCGCCGAACATTGAAAAACGGCCGGACGGGAGTCTTCTGGATGTGGGTGGGCGTCTTTAGAGCTCCTTCGTGCCCGTGCCCGCTTGCACCCTTGCCCCTGGCGCACATGAGTGGGAAACCAGCAGAATTTTAAACAACCAGCAATGGCCGTTTACATACAAGCGGTCCGGCGTCTGTAAAGATGCCCGATCGCTTGTATGCTGCATTTGTCTGTGAGGCCCCCCCTCCTTACCTCTCCTGTGGTCGCCGTCCCCACCGCCGCTGATTCCAGACGTCCATCCGGGATGGGCGATGTGGCTCCGTGCACTGAGAACGAAGGGAGTTCAGTACACCATCTCCCTCCGCTCTCCTCCCCGGTCTCTGAATGCAGGAAGTGATGTTTACTATCGGTACAGAAACCGGAAAGAAGCTGATGAAGCAGATCTGTGCTTCATCAGCTTCTCTGGGGGTCCCTAGGTGACATTAGGGGTCTTAGAGACCCCTGATGTCTCCATAAAGGGGACTTGTCACTGTAATTTGATATCACATAGAGGGATTTTTATCCCCCTATGTGATAACAATAAAGTTAAGTGTAACAAAAAAAAGATGGAATGGAGGAGAGGGAATGGAGTAGGGGAGATGGAGGGTTGGGGAGGGGTGGGGAATGGATGTAGGAGTGGGTATGATCGGTTTCCAAGAAATAATGGGTAAGAGCAAGGTGTTGGATTGGGAATGGAATGAGATTTTAGATAATATAATACCTTTTGTTTCTTGTTTCATAGTCGTATAAGTAATAGCGATGGGCTAGTTTATTGTAACTGATCATAAGCATGAGCTTTTCCTTTATCTTCGCCCATTTATAATTAATAAGCGATGTTAGATATGAGATAGCTGTTAAATGTAGACGCTACTGTTATTATTATGCAATTTATGGAATTGTATGTGATGAAATAAAAATGTATTCTTGAAAAAAATTGGTCGCAAAATAAATACAATTTACACACACACACAAAAAAGTCACCACAAAATGTTTTTAAAGTCCCCCACCCCCACATAGATGCGCAAAAATACATTAGGTGCGCCTACACGCAAAAACAATGATTGCGCCAATTACGCAGCACATGTTACATATCGCCGTGAACGTCACAGCGAGAGCAATATTATAGGGCCATCAATCACGAAACTGATCAGCGGTAAAATATTTTAAAGCACCGCCTATGGCCAATTTTTACCAGGTAAATGCTTATTCCTAAAAAGAGACCACAGATGGACAGTCAACTAGTATTTTCAAAAGGTCAGCAATGGCAGCCACAGTAATCCTGTCAGTATGTTTCCTTAAGCCCTTTACTCATAGAAGTGTTGATTTTCAGTAGCACAGAAACACATAGCTGACAAATGCTATCAGGAATAGCATGGAATTTGCAACCACCACTGCTATAGCCCCTTATTTCATTGTGTAGTTGTACACAGCATTTCTCATTCTATGGAGCTGTATATATCAGGTGCCAGTGCTATGAACATCTCTGGGTAAGAGAGTGACATCTACATGGAAGATGAAGAGCTGCATTGTTTACTGTAGCCAATGGGTTATTGACGATCATGCTGATTCCCTTGATTTAATATTTTAAGTCATTAATCCAAAACAATTATGCAGATGAGGAGTTGTTACTTTTTCTGTCTTTTCTGATCTGTATACTTGTTCTGGTTGGGACTCCAGTAGTGAGCCAGTGAATTAGCATAACAGCCACACAATGAAGAGTTTCAGAAGGTGACAGTACATGGCTACATTCATATTTTCCCTATGAAAGTTTTACTTCAAATCTAAATATAATAATGTGTTTGTTTTTCTTTCCAGGCTTACGTCAACCTGCTGTTTTGGTTCCAGTTCTTTTGTGGCTTTTCAGGTGCTACCATGATTGATTACTGGCAATTGATCTTTTTCAACCTCTTGTTCACTTCTGTACCTCCGCTTATCTTTGGCATACTGGATACGGATGTTTCTGCAGAGACCCTTATGAGCTTGCCTGAACTTTACAAAAGTGGTCAGCGTTCAGAGGTATCAGAATTAAATAAAAAATTATTTTGTCCATGTGTGCTCAATGCAAAGGAAGGCTTGCTTTCAGGAAGGTTCACACAATACCTGCCTATACAGTGAAAAATATATATAACAAAGAAAGAAAGTACACTCTCTTTGAATTCTATGGTTTTTATGTATCAGGACATAACAAAAATCATCTGGTCCTTAGCAGATCTTAAAATTGGTAAATGCAACCTCCGTTGAACAACACATCAACACATGACATATTACACTGTCACAACATCCTTTAGACAGTGGAGATGTGTGGCCATAATGCACAAACAAAATACAGCATATGAGCACAAACACCTCATACCAACTGTCAAGCACGGTGGTGGAGTGGTGATGATTTGGGCTTGTTTTGCAGCCAAAGGACCTGGATACCTTGCAGTTATTGAGTCGATCATGAGCTCCTCTGTATACCAAAGTATTCTAAAGTCAAATCGGGCCATCTGTCCAACAGCTAAAGCTTGGCCTAAAATTGGGTTGTGTAACAGGACAACGATCCCAAGCACACCAGCAAATCTACAACGGAATGGCTTAAAAAGACAAGAATCAAGGTGTTGCAATTGGTCCAGACCTCAACCCAATTAAAATGCTGTGGTGGGCCCTTAAGAGATCACTGCATAAGCAAATGGCTGCAAACCTAAATGAACGCTGATAGAAGAGTGGGCTAAAATTTCTCCACAATGATGTGATCGACTGAAACTCATACAGAAAATAAATACTTCAAGTTTTTTCTGCTAAGGGTGGTTATACAAGATATTGAATTATAACGTGTGCTTAGGACCAGATGATTTTTTATTATGTCTTCATACTTAAAAAATAGAATTTAAAGAGGTTATGCTTTCTCTTTCACACAACTGTGTGTGTGTGTGTATATCACATGTATGATCACAAAAAAAGTTGATTCTAGGTAATTCATCAAAAACGCCAATTTATTAGTGTGATTGCTGACATTCATTAATTTATAGCATAAAAGTTAATATGGTTATATTTGTACCTTACGAAGGGTTAAATGGAAGAAGCTATTAATTTCATAAAAAAATCTATTAGGGCCACTTTCTAGTCTCTAGCTGCCTATATCTTCTACAGATAACAAATAAACAATCGGTGTTGCATGATCGGAGTCACTGCACTGCTTTCAGGAGCAGAAATGTTTACACTGCTTAAAGGAGGACTATGAGGTGAGTGCTTTTCACTCACCTCATAGTTCTAGCCGACCTGTGACAATGAGACTGTCACAGGTTGGCTCAGTAGATCGGGAGGTGAGCGAACACATACCGGTGTTCGCTCACCTCTAGATCCTGTCACGGCTCTCTGCCGTGACAGGGGAGGGGCTGGATTCCCCACTCCGATCCGCCAGCCCTGACTGGCGGAACAGACGGGGGAGGGGCGGGTACAGCTGGCTCTGCCTCTAGATAGGCAGATCCAGCTGTCAGTCACCCAGACATAATTGTCGGGATCCGCTTCAGCTGCGGCGTCTCAGTATACCGCAAGCAGCAGCTCGTGGTATACTGCGGCGTCTCAGTAGAACTATGGGCAAAAGCCTTAACCCCATAGTTCTCCTTTAATTGCTGGGGCTTGACACTGGGCTTGACACTGGGGTTATTTCCTAAGGTGCGCACACACCTTTATCTGCAGATTTTCTGTGGTCAGATGGAAAAGGTGCAACAGATTCCTCCATCTACATTAAACTGTGTGGATGGAGGAATCTCCACCTGGGCCAATCTGTTGCCCTTTTTCCATCTGACCACAGAAAATCTGCAGATAAATTGTAAGGTGTGTGGGCACCTTTAGGCAGGAGCATAGGATGGTACTTAAAATCCTAACAAAAAAAACATACAAAACAATCAGTAGACTTATTAGTGGAGCACAGCCTTCATCTGAAATTGTTTTTTCTATAGCATGTCCTGCAGAAAACTCCACTCGTTACCATACCTGTCAGACTCTCTGTAATCGTAAATGTTTCTTTATATTACAGTCATACAAGATGTCTACCTTTTGGATTGCCATATTAGATGCCTTCTACCAGAGTCTTGTTTGCTTCTTCGTCCCCTATTTTGTAAGTGTTGAACCCAGTGACATCATTTAATGTTTTAGTAGCTAAACAATATGGTTTGTATGGGCTTTAAATTATGCTGATATACTTCGAAAGCGTTAAAGGAGAAGTATGGGGTTAAGTCTTTTCCCCATAGTTCTCCTTAGGGTAACGGGGGGACACAAACTAGCATCCTCCCGTCACCTTAGGCTCAGTATACAGCTCGCTGTAGCTCGCTGTATACTGAGACGCCGCAGTATACCGCGAGCAGCTGCTCGCGGTATACTGAGACGCTGAAGCGGATCCCGATAATTGTGCCGGTATCTGCCCAGCTGCGTGACTGACAGCTGGCTCTGCCTATCTAGAGGTAGGAAGATAAAGTATGGCTGCCTTAAAAATTACATATTACTTAAAAAAATCTGTCTCTAGAAGAGGCATAAAATTATTTTAGTACCTTTTAATAAAATAATGTGCGTTAAGCTAACATGTACATAAGGAGTTCCTATTTAAACCTGTACCTCCATTTCTTGCAGTGGTAGTATAATTTCAAAGCCAGGCTGATTGAAGAGCTCACAGCAATTAAAATGCTTTTGGATTGCCAGTCCTTTAGGAAAATACCAGGGCTGCTAAATCCAGACCTGCTGCAGGACCTTGATAAAAACTTACTTGACCTTCATCAGGTCCATTGGAACAGATTAAAAATTCAAAGGGATACCATGCATGCAATGCATTATCTGCTCACTTCCCAGCCACTTTCATTACAGTAAACACATTAGTGATCAGCATTGCTGACACATAGAAGTGCTTGCCAGCTGTTTTGCTTTCTCCTAGAGAACTCCTTTAAATAGAAGTCAGAAACGTTTGGATTTTTTCCAGCCTTCAGAAAGTCTTCCTACCTTTTTCTAAAATACATGTTTTATCAAGGATGACATACAAGCATGTCAGAGTTCAGAAATAGCAGCAGTTTATCTCTGTGCTATTAGTAATGAAGAGTGAGAATAACCTTTGCCTTTAATGTCATATCGTTGTTTATTGCAGGGCCAGTTTTCTCAGATCATCTTTTGCTGCTGCTTGTAGTATGTCACATTCTGGCACCAAAACACTCATGGGGAAATTTATCAAAACTGGAGCAGACAGAATCTGGAGCAACAACCAATTAGCTTCTCTCTTCAGTGTGTTCAGTTAAGATTTAAAAATGAAAGAGAAGCTGATTGGTTGCTGTGCACAGCTGCTCCAGATTTTGTCTGCTCCAATTTTGATAAATGCCTCTCTTAGTATTGTGCAACAACCTCTTCCCATGAATGGGTACCTTGCACTGGCCTGTATGAAATTTGTATTTGATTACCCCCTTAACTATTTCTTGTATTTGTTTTTTAAAACAGTCTCTTATTTAACTTACTGAATTCCAAATTGAAATGTTTTCTTCATCTTGTTTCAGACATTCTACAAATCTGATATAGACATTTTTTCATTTGGCATGCCCATGAACACAATAGCCCTTCTTACTATTATTTTACATCTTGCTATTGAGATAAACAATTGGGTAAGTTTTACTGTCTGACTATAACATCTTAAGACTCTTCAGAAAAGTTTTGTGCATGCTAAATGAGAGTTGACATGGTACAATATGCTTGTGTAGAACTGAGTAGGATAACTTCGCAAATGAGCTTACTTATATTTTATTTTAACCTAATCGATGAATGGAATTGGCAAAATAAGTCGTTTTTGGCAAATAACACCCCAATACTATATTACAACACAGGAATGTATTTTTATATAGATTTATTTACGTTTTAAAATGTTAGTGTACAGTATGTACAGCCAAATATTTTTTTTGGCTAGTAAGGCGAGGTTAAACCCCTATCAAGTGATTTTTGCTGTCTGTGTCCTTCTGATTTCTTTTCGCTTCCTGTTCTGGAGCAGCAACAGGATATGAAAGGAAATCTCCCCAAAGTGAGAATTGTCATCGAAGATGATTGTTACCCGAACATACTGTATGTCCCAATTGTATGATTTAACCTCATTTTTCTGATGACATCTCTAAAATTTTGAATTTCCCCTTACTTTCTGTTTTGGTTAATATGTTCACAAGGAAAACAGAGGAGTAAATCTACCCAGTGTGGACACAGGTGGCAAACTTGACCAAGCATTTAACCATTCCCATGTCTATCCAAAACAAAACAAAAAGTGTTGCACTTTTACATACACATTAACAATGCAAAAATGTAAAGTCACTTTCTATCAGACTCTTAGTGCAGACACACAGTTGTTCCTGCATACCCATTACTTGCGTACAAAAGCGCACTCAGGCCCTAAAACCCAGAATACTCCCAAATGGGAATACTGACCTCCCACTGGAGGTAATAAGTTGCCCCACCCCACCAACCAGAAATCATAAATGGCTCATCAGTGTGGTGGGTGTCCTTGCTGAACAAATATTGGGCACCAGAGTTGGGGTTGGGTTAGGCAAGTGCGAATGAGTAGAGCCTCTTTAACTATTTAGCTGCATTATTATAGCAAATGTAGTCTTGATGACTGATATGCTGTATAGCAACATGTTAGTTTGAATACCTAGCTTGTTTGAGGCACACATGGAAGTTGTGGCTATTGGCATAGGATCAGTTTTACCCAATCCAGCTAGCTATAGTTGGGTCAGGAACTTTTTTTTAGTTTAACACAGTAACTGCATTTACTGGTCAGCATAGAAATCTTTCACTTTCGCTGTCTCAAATTATTCTTTAATTGAAGTTGAAACCTGTTCTCATTAACTTTTTTTCTATTACAGACCATCCTGCACTGGATTACCATTTTTGGAAGCGTTGTTCTGTATTTTGTCATTTCCTTGGCCTATAATGCCATGTGTGTTTTATGTGAGGTGCCAAGTCCCTATTGGGTCATGGAAAAACAAATGTCTGAAGCCCCTTTCTACCTACTTTGCATTATTACTCCAGTTATTGCTCTGTTGCCAAAGTAAGACATCTTTATTTTCTAGTTCATTATTGCTCTCCACTTGTAGTACCATGAAGTATATAGCGCATGCATAGTATGAAAATAACATTGATAACACAAGGGCGTTCCGCAGGGGTCTGTGCTGGGCCCCATGCTGTTTAATCTATTCATTAACGATATTGGGGAGTGGATAAACAGCCATGTTTCATGTTTCAGTGTTTGCTGATGAAACCAAAATCGGGAGGGGAATAGTCACTGATTCAGAGGCTATAACATTACAGGGGGATCTGGATAAAATAGGGGAGTGGGAAACCACATGGCAGATGAGGTTTAATGTGGATAAATGTAGAGTTGAGCACTTTGGGGTTAAAAACAAGAAAACGGGTTACACACTAATGGGAGCTCCCCTCGGTAAGTCCGAAAGGGAAACAAATTTGGGGGTCATTGTAGACCACAGGCTGAATAATAGCTTGCAGTGTCAGGCGGCGGTAAACATAGCAAGCAGAGTCCTTTCCTGTATTAAGAGGGGAATGTTTTGCAGGGACTAGTCCGTAATTCTGCCACTTTATAGATCACTGGTTTGGCCTCATCTGGAGTATGCGGTCCAGTTTTGGGCACCAGTAGACAGGGGGGATGTCCTTGAACTGGAGAGGGTCCAGAGGAGGGCAACCAAAATCATAAAAGGGATGGAGGACCTGAGTTATGAGAACAGGCTACCAAAATTAAAACATGTTCTCCTTGGAAGTAAGAAGCTTAAGGGGGGACATGATTTTCATATATAAAATGTTTAACGGGGAAAGTAACATGAGCAGCAAACTTTTTACAATTAACACGATGACAAGGACGAGAGGCCACCACTTAAAATTGGTGGAGAAAAAATTTCAGCACGAGGGGCGAAGGGGTTTCTTCTCAGTTAGATCGGTCAAGGTATGGAACTCACTGCCACATGCTGTGATTTCGGCAGAGAGTGTGGAATCATTCAATAGGCGATTGGACGATTTCCTCAGGGACCGTAATATACAGGGGTACGAGTACTCTTAAAATTGAAAACACACAAGGGACCTATACATACTACAAACAAGATAGGACCATACGCACATACACAAATAGGTTGGACTTGATGGACATATGTCTTTATTCAACCACAAATACTATGTAACTATGTACCTGTCATGCTGAGGTGCACTTCTGAGCATCAGTCACATTGTTGGCAAACTAATTCAATTTGAATTATTAATGTCCCATTATTTCCAATTCTAGAAGCTTCAGTAAAGTAAATCAAGTCAGAAGAGAGAGCCCATAATACGTATGAAATGCAAAATGGGAAAGTTTTA